ATTATTTTATGTGCCTATTTGTCATTCATATGTCTTCATTGGAGAATTGCTTATTTAGGTCTTCTGCCCATTTTTGGATTGGGTTGTTTTTTTCTTATTAAGTTGTATGAGCTGTTAATATATTCTGGAAATCAATCCCTTGTTAGTCTCATCTTTTGCAAATATTTTTTTCCCATTTTGTAGGTTGTCGTTTTGTTTGCTTATGGTTTCCTTTACTGTGCAAAAGCTTGTAAGTTTAATTAGGTCCCATTTGTTTATTTTTGCTTTTATTTCTATTGCTTGGGTAGATGTCCTAGGAGAACATTTTTGAGAAGTATGTCAGATAATGTTTTGCCTATATTATCTTCTAGGGGGTTTACTGTATCTTGTCTTATGTTTAAGTCTTTGATCCATTTTGAGTTTATTTTTGTGTATGGTGTAAGGGAGTGTTCTAGCTTCATTAATTTCCATGCTGCTGTCCAGTTTTCCCAATACCATTTGCTGAAGAGATTGTCTTTATTCCATTGTATATTCTTGCCTCCTTTGTCGAAGGTTAGTTGACCAAAAGTTTGTGGGTTCATTTCTGGGCTCTCTATTCTGTTCCATTGGTCCATATGTCTGTTTTTGTACCAATACCATTCTGTTTTGATGACTGTAGCTCTATAGTATTGTCTGAAGTCTGGGAGAGTTATTCCTCCAGCCTCATTATTTTTCTTCCGTAATGCTTTGGCAATTCTGGGTCTTTTGTGATTCCATATAAATTTTAATATGATTTGTTCTAGTTCTGTGAAAAATGTCCTCGGTAATTTGCATTAAATCTGTAGATGGCCTTGGGCAGTGTGACCATTTTAACAATATTGATTCTTCCAATGCAGGAGCATAGGATATCCTTACATTTCTTTAAGTCTTCCTTAATTTCCTTAATCAATGTTTTGTAGTTCTCCATGTGTAAGTCTTTCACCTCCTGGTTAGATTTATTCCTAGGTATTTTAATACTTTGGGTGCTATTTTAAAAGAGATTGTTTCTTTACTTTCTTTTCCTGTTGACTTATCATTAGTGTAAAGAAATGCAAATGATTTTTGTACATTAATCTTGTATCTTGCTTGTCTGTGAAGTTCTTTATCTCTCTTCTATTCTAAAGGATAGCCTTGCTAGATAAAACATCTTAGGTTGCATCTTTTTATCATTCAGGACTTTGAATATATCTTGCCACCCCTTTCTGGCCTGCAGTATTTGTGTAGAGAAATCAGCTGAAAGCCTTATGGGGGTTCCCTTGTAACTAACTCTTTGTTTTTCTCTTGCTGACCTTAGAATCATTTCTTTATCCTTAACCCTGGTCATCCTGATTATAATATGTCTTGGTGTGGGTCTGCTTGGGTTCTTGTTTGGGACTCTCTGTGCTTCCTGTACTTGGATATCTGATTGCTTCTTCAGGTTTGGGAAGTTTTCAGCCATGATTTCTTCAAATAACTTTTCAATCCCCTTTGCTTTTTCTTCTCCTTCTAGGACCCCTATTATGTATAGGTTGCCATGCTTTATATTATCCCATAGGTCCCTTATATTGTTTTCATTGGTTGTTATTTGTTTTTCTCTTGCTGTTCTGATTGGGTGACTTCTGTTGTCCTGTCTTCTAAGTCACTTGTTCATTCCTCTGCATTATCTAGCCTACTTTTTACAGCCTTTAGCTCAGCTCTCATCTCAGCAAATGAGTTTTCCAATTTTAAATGGCTTCTCTTTATAGTTTCAGTTTCTTTTCTGATGTATTCTCTGTCTCTATTCACAGTCTCTTTTAGTTCCTTCAGTACTTTGATCACTCCTTTCTTGAAATCATGATCTAGTAGACTATCAAGGTCTATTTCACTAATCATTCTTTCAGGGGGTTTCTCTTGTTCTTTTAATTGGGAGTTGTTCCTCTGCCTCTTCATTTTACTTATATCTGTCTAGTTCTAGATTATGGAGTATCAGTTATCTACTGTGATCCTGAAGGGGTATGTTTGTTTGTTTATTTGTTTGTTTATCTGAAGTGGCCGTGGAAATAAAACTAAAAAAATTTTTAAAGAAAAAAAAAAGATTGGAGGGAGGCCAAGATGGCAGAGTAGAAGGATGCCTGTAGCTCACCCTCTCCCACAAATGCACCAAGACTCACATCCACAGACCCACTCAGCCAACCAGAGCACCTGCAGAACTCCGACAGAACATCGTCCTCTTCAAAAGATAGAGATGCCAAAAATCTGGTAGGAGAAAAGGAAAAAAGAAAGAAGAAAAGGCAAAACAGAGTGGGATGGGTCCCACGGGGAGGGAGTGGCAAAGGAGGACTGGCGCTCGCTCGCTGAGTCTCCCCTCTCCAACCGAGAGGCCAGTGGGTCGGAGGGGGAACCTCCGAGGCTCGGACCTGTACAGAGCAGCCCTTGATCGACAGAACTAAGTTAAATGGGCACAGAGGGTCCCCGCAACACCCAGCCCGAGATGAGGCCCACCATTTGGGGGCAGGACCAGGCTGCCCGAGGCAGGCGGAGGATGGGTGGCTGCACTGAGGCAGCCCTGGGGGACTGAAGGGGGCTGTGCACCATGGCTGTGGGTGCACATGGCAGAACAACCTGGGCACTCCATAAAACAACAGGGCTGATGTGCTCTGGGGGGAAGGGTGCATACCCCCATTTCTGAAAACCTGCAGAAAGTTTTTGGGTGAAGAGAGGCAGGGCTCAGGCACAGCTGCCATATCCTCCAGTGCTTAGCACCCAGGCGGGGGTGGGGTGAAACCCACATCTGCACCTAACGGCTTAGCAGCCTCAAAGGCCAGACAGAGACTTGTCTACAGCCCGAGGTAGATAGGATCCTTCCATCCCGGTCCCTCAGAGAACTTGCTCCACCAAGACAAACAAGGAGCTGGGTTTTGGCCCAGAGCATAGACAGGGCTGTTCCTAGGGCTTTTCCTTGGTCTTCCCTGAGCCTGCCTGTGGAGCGCTGACCTGAGGCAGAGCACACAGTGGCACAGAGCAGCGGAGCGACTGGCGCCAGGAGAGGGAGTGTGGCCCCCCGCATTTCGGGCAGGAACGCAGACCCTCACTGTGGCGCTGGGAGGGGGTGCGACCTGCCCTCCTACCTGGCCAGTCTGCAACATCTGACTGCGGCATCAGGAGGGGCAGTGACCCACCCACCCACAGCAAAGGAGAGCTGCACCTGACCCATTGTTGGGAGGAGGAGCAATCTGCTTGCTGACTGGCACTGGGAGCAGCACAGATGAGGGCACCAATGGAGGGCCTCTGGAAACAGCAAGCTGAGCTTCCAAAACAGGGTGAAGACAGAAAGACTTCACATTAAAAGCACACAGTCTCCAGAACACTGACCCCCGCCCCCTTTTTTAAATCTGTTTTGCCTGTTCTATTTTCTATTACCCTTTTAATTTTTACTTCTTAAACAATTATATATACCCCCAGTTTTACTCCCTTTAAACATTTTTAAAAATATTTTTATTATTATTATTTTTTAAAATTCTGCTTCAACTTGCTCTTCTATTATTCATTATACACTGTTTTCAAACCTTTTTTCTCCCTTCTCTTAAAATTCTTTATCTCTCTCTCTTCTTTTTTTTCTTGTCTAAGTTTTATTTCCTACATAGGCATTAGATAGAT